ATGTTGTTGGTTATATGTTTGGTGATGAAAATTTTGTTTGTTAAAATAATGTCGTTGTAATTTATCTTGATATTGAATGTCATAAGTGTTTACAATGAAATTTGACAAATTTTTATGGTTGAAATTGTTCGTTGGCTGATTGCCTAATTGCGCGTCTGCGTTAATGTTCCTATTGATATCCGCGCTGTTTTCACTAGACTCTGCTGATAAAATATCTAGGGGTGTGTTTAAGTTGTCGTTGGTGTTGCTGATACTATTGTTGTTGTTACTACTGATATTGTTTGCAATGGGTAGTTGTTGACTCATTTTGTAAGGATTTATTTGTTATTTAATGTGATTTGTGAGGTATTATTAATTTAATAAACGCTTGATGTTGCCAGATCGAGTTACCAATGGTGAATGAATGTTCTTACTAATCAACTCCCTTATATAGACTTGTAGCTGCTGTGACAAAGTTCTCGTCAAAAGTTTTGACCTATTAACTTCTTTGATCTGTTGAAATTGTAATCAAATTTGAACAAGTGCCACTTTGATGTCAACTTAAAAAAATTTTACAAAAAAGATCAAAGCGTGTTTGATCTTTATCGTGCGTGTCAACTTAATTGGATGATCGTCTCTTTCTGTTTTCACGTGCAACCTTGACAGAGAATATTTTATTGATTGTCTCCTTCATTATACTTCATTTATGCTGTTTCAAAACGAAAAATTTAAAAAAAATGAAAATTTTTGTAAATATTAAACTTTCGGCAGTTTTAGCCGAAACAACTCGCGAAAATATCAATGAGCTTGTTTGTAGTGTTTATTACATAATCGTTGTTGATATTTAGATTCACTTTTAATGCCAATCTAAAACTTTTTTCGTTTTTTAGGTTCATTTTGGATCCGTAAAATAGTGTATCCTCGACTTTGGATCTGCAGATTCGAATCTTTTCTAAATCTCTGGGTTTGGACCCAAATCCGGATTTGGAATCGTCGCATTCCTGCTTTCTTCTACATGGTATAAAAAAACACTTTTGCCTTATCTTTTTCTTGACATCTCCTCTATTCTTCTTCTATTTTTGTATCTTCATTACTTTTTTTATATAGGATTGATAATTATAACTCGCTCTACTTTGGTTTTTATGATTCGACAATCTAATCTTTAAGTAAAGTTTTAAAACCATCTAACTCTCTTTACTCTGTCTATGAATTTGAATTAATTAATTATATATATCTACATTAATTAATTTAGTCCTGGGCATGACATAAAACTGCATCCACGCTGCCTTGCGTGCTTTTGAGCAAAAGGCTTGGCACACCGCTTATAACTGGTGGATGTCGTAAGGATGGGTGTCCGGATGTAAAAAGTTTCCGCAAAATTTATTTCATGTTATCACAAAAAATAACGGCTCCATGTCCTTAAGTGGTCAAGGGGTGCTAAGAATTCCTGGGAAGTATGCAATAGCGGAGGAATGTTGCTGAAAAATTCAGAATGGCCCCTTTATGGTACTTGGACTAGGAACGCTCAATGTTGGATCACTGACTGGCCGCAGCATGGAAATCGCAGAAATGCTCAAGCGTAAAAGGATTGACATCTGCTGCCTTCAGGAGACCCGATGGAAATCTAATGGTGTGTGTCATATATACAGAAATACAGAAAAAGAAAATTATAAACTATTCTGGAATAGTCAAAAGACGACCAAAAATGCTGTTGGAATTTTTGTCAGAGAACCGCTAGCCGAAAAAGTACTGGATATTAAAAGGATTAACTCACGTCTCATGTGGATCAAGATTCACCTAGAAAAGCAAACAATGACTATTTTTCTGCATACGCACCACAGACAGGCGAATCAGAAGAGATGAAAAATGACTTCTTGGCGCCATCTCAACAATACCAAAATCTGAAACAATCCTGATTAGAAGCGATCTCAATGGCCACGTTGGAGAGAAAACAGATGGTTTTGACAACGTGCATGACGGTTTTGACTATGGAGAACGGAATAAAGATGGCAACCGCATCCTTGAGTTTGCTGAAAGTCACGGGTTTTGTTTACTGAACACATATTTTAAAAAGAGGTTGGAACGTCTCACAATATACAAAAGTGGACCATCAGCCACGCAAATTGATTTCTTCGCTGTCAAGCAAGAGCACCGAAAGCTATTCAAAAATGTCAAAGTTATACCTGGCGAATCATGTGTTGTCCAACTGAGACTCCTTGTGGCAGACCTGGTTGTCAAATTGTCAAAACATAAGTCTAAACAAATGCCTCAATCAAAACGTGGAAGCTGAAAAGCAATATTCATCGAGAAAAATTTCAACAGATTGTCGCCACACAGTTAAACTACCAATCGCAATCCAGTAGGTACAGATTGGAGTACATACAAAACCGTTTTGATAAACGCTGCAACTACAGTTTGTGGGAAAACTGGTACAAAACGCCAGCATGAACGGGACACGTGGTGATGGAATGACAGTGTACAAAATGCAATAGCTAAAAAGAAGCTGCATACAAACAATGGCAAAAATCAATGTCTGTTGATGACCACAAAATTTTTCGTGAGAAAAACAACTAAGCAAGACGTCAAGTGGCACTTGCTCGGACAAATCAATGCAGAGAGTGGCTCAATAAAAGCAAAGGTGAACAAATGAAGTCTCTGTATCGTATAGCAAAACAAGCAAAGCGTACGAAAAAAGACATAGTTGGTGCCTCATGTATCAAAAACAACAAAAATGAGATAGTTCTTAAACAAGATGGGATTAAGCTACAGTGGAAAGAATATTTCAACCGTTTATTGAATGAAACAAATCCCATCAATGTCAACTTTGACGCTCCACCCATCGAAGTTCCAATTTCAGACATCGCTGTAGTGGAGCTTACAGAAGCTCTGAAAGCTATGAAGGATGGAAAGGCAGCAGGACCCTCTGGATTCACAAATGACATTATCAAAGCATCTGGTACTGTAGGTATCCAAACGTTACTACGACTTTGCCGTAAAGTGTGGAGAAATTGCTCCATGCCGACTGAATGTAACTATAGCATGACAGTTCCGCTATACAAAGGCAAAGGTGATCCATTGAATTGTTCAATAAAACAATGAAAGATCAATTTAAATTTGATAAGTTATAATATAATATGGTATGTGGTTAAATGTGGTATGTGGTTATGTGTTAGAACACTCCCTGAAAATTGTCGAGAAAATCATTGAAGGAAGATTAACGTCGTGCATCGCAATCGGAAATTATCAATTTGGTTTCCTAGCGTGGAAATCAACAATTGATGTAATTCATATCTTTGGGCAATTGCAAGAAAAGTACCTCGCAAAGCATCAACAACTATCACACATTTTTGTTGACCTTGAAAAAGATTTAAGTTCCCCGTGAAGCCCTCAGATGGAGTCTACGTCGATAACTCATCCCAGAATATCTTGTTCG